TTGAACATATTTGTGTTGTGTTGCCAGCCATTTGGACACTCTTTTGTGAATTCTCCTGTCCATTTTTCTATTGGGGTGCCTGCATTTTCATTGCAGAAATTCTCTATGTATTCTAGATGAAAATCCATACACCCACACACACAGAGTTGATGTAGACATAATTGTTATTGTTAGGTACCTTCGAGTTGAGTGCAACTCATAGCAATTCTATGAACAAAAGATCTGAACCCTGTTCTATCTTGTGCCATCCTCATACTTCTTGACACAAGAGCCCATTTCAGAAGTCACCATGTCAATTCACCTGGTTGAGGGTCTTCTTCTCCTTCACTGACCTTCCACCTTTCCCAGTATCATGTCCCTCTCCAAGAAATAGCTCCTCCTAGCAACATGTGCGAAGTGAGGTGAAGCTTTATCATTCTTGATAGTTTTTCTTTTTTATGTACTATTGAGTCAGAGGTGACAAACAGCTTATCCTCCAGCACGTTTTCAGAGGCTGTAAGTAGCATGGGAGGAGATTATTCATCTTTCCCCATGGAGCAGCTGGTGGATTCTAACTGCATGCTTTTGGGTTGAAAGCATGATATCTTACTACTGATCCACCAGAGCCTATATAAATTATTCTTATAGTTAGGTGCTCTAAAGTTGAGTACAACTCATTATGACCTTATGAACAACAGATCTGGACTTTGTTCTATTCTGTGCAATTATCATTTAACTCTGACACACTAGAGCCCACTGCTACAGTCACTGTCAATCCATCTCATTGAGGTCTTCTTTTCTTACTCTGATTTTCTGATCAAGCATTCCTTTCCAAGGAATGTTGTTATGTGCCATGGAGTTGCCTCTAACTCCTAGTGACACTATGTATAAATAGCTCTGAAATTCATACTATTCTGAGTCAGTCTCATGGCCTCAGTGCAATTTGTCTTTTGGTTTCCTGACTGCTGGTGCCAAGAGTATTGATTGTGGAGATGAACAAGCTGTAACTGTTAACAATCTCAATCTCTTCTCCATCCATCATGGTGCACCTTTTGGTCCAGTGGTGAGAATCTTTGTCTTCTTGATAATAATTTGCAATCCATATTGAAGACTATAGTCCTTGGCCTTCTCCAGCAAACACTTCGGGTCCTTCTCAGTTTCAAATATGCCCAGTTGTGAGATGAAGCGTCACCATCCTTGCTTCCAAGAAGCACTCTGGCTGCACTTTTCCCAAGACATATCTGCTTATTGTTTTGGCAGTCCCTGTGATATTCAGTACTCTTCTCCAGCACCACAACTCAAAAGCATCAATTATTCTTTTGTCATCTCTTTCATTGTCCAGCTTCCAGAAATACATCTCTGAAAACTAATTGCTATCAAGTTGAATCCAACTCATGGATTGATTCAACCCCAAGTATGTCAATGGAAAGTAGGGCTGCATAGGGTTTTCAATGGTTGTTTTTGAAAGTAGATTATTTCTTTCACACTGCCGCTTGTTAGACTCAGTCTTCCAAACTTTTCTTTCAGCAGCCAAGATTTTTAATTGCTTGTATCATTTAGGAAGGCCTGAAAGTTTGAAGGGGGTAGAGTTTATTTAGACAGAAATTATGGGAAATCTACTCTAAATGAAAAGCATAGTCTGTAAGCATGTGAGCTTGGCATAATATAATTATCATCATGGGCATGTTTTGAGGTTTTTTATTCCCCCCCAGAAGTTAAAAGACAACTACAGGAACCACAAGATACATCTATCTTGAGGAAAAAACTAATCATTACCGCTACTGATAGTTCTGATGCAGGATATAGAAGATTCCAGACGGAACAGGGGGAAACTGTGGAACAAAACCTAAATTCTTAAAAATGGTAAAATACTGGACCAGTAGAGGAGAGAGGAACCCATGAGAAAGCCTGAAAATATCCTTTAAACTTCAAACTGAAATTAGTCCAGGAGGTCACCATTCAGGTAAATTACAGGTTCACAGAACAAACAATATCATTGGGGAAAATTGTGCTTTAAAAAATAAGAACAAAATATCATCTATATGAGAACAAAGTTAACAGTTACTATATAGCAAAGATACTAAATTGCTAAAAGAAGATTTCCTATCTTTCTGTTATGGAGCAGCTGGTGGATTCAATCTCCTTACCTTCGGGTTTGCAGTGACTCCTTACCAGTAGGCTACCAGAACTCCCATGTAGATTATTACTGTCAAATTTTTGTATAACATATGCTGTTGTTAAGTGCTGTCAAGTTGTCTTGACTCATAGCGACCCTGTGCACATCAGAATGAACCCCTGCTGGATCCTGTGCCAGCTACAAATTGTTGAATGAAGACCCAATTTTCTGTGCGAATCTTCATCAAAACACAATAACATATTTAAGGAGGGGGAAAAAAGTCACCATCTCAACATAGGGGGAAACAACTGAAACAAAAACCGAGAAGATAATGTGTAACCATAGCATCTATAGGACTTTATGTGCTGAAAGACAGAGAGAAGAGTAGAAGGATCAATAACCATAAAGAATGAGGGAAAAAAAGAGAACTCTGAATAGGTTTCCAGCCAAGAGAACCTAAGTGACACTCAGTGAAATAGCAGATGAGAGAAGTCTAGGAAGTTCTTGGGGAAAGCAGATGAGTTTTTTTGATTCCCTGAGGGGACATTCAGGTAGGGATAGAAATGGGTGCATGAGATATAAGAAAACCAAGGAAGTTTGACAAGACTTCAACATTCCTATTAAATTATCTTTAATTACATACTCTGAATTTATAATCCATAAATTTTATCTACAGCATCTGGAATCTTTCAGAAAAGTTTCAGATTATTTGTGTAAATCTTACCATCTCAAATATAACTCATACTCATTGTTCACGGTTAGTGTCTAATTAATCAATCAACAATTGTTTTCCATATACAATTTATTCAGAGTTGATCTGGTTGTGCCCTTGTGTCCCAGCTGGTGTTTGTGTCCTAAATTTAGTGCAGAAATTTCACAATTGGGCTACAGAGGGGCTATTTCTAACTAATGAAGACGCCTTGCCAGACAAATTATTTCATTTTGAAATTCTATTGCAAAAGAGCAATAAAGTAATGGTTCCACTTTTAAATAAATAAGGGGTTATTTTGCTGCTGAAAATTCTCTTTCAAATGACACACCTGATCTCACATGTCTGTTTAAAAAAGCATGACTTAGATCATTACAAAATGACAGACTATGATAAACTAGATGATAGCTGGGAGTGAGACAATGAGGCATTGTTTACACAGAAGATCGAGTAACTGGTTTAACAAAAGAGGTTTTTGGGTATCTATTGTATGCACAATGAAGAGATTTACTGGAGCTTTTGTCATTTCTGCAAAGTTCTTTTCCAACCAGCTTCATTAACTTGAAGTAAATAAAATCATCCAGAAATCTGGCTCGGCCAGAAAGCAACACAGGAAGACTCAATATAAAGAAAAATAGACACGGCATGGTAAGGCTTAGAATTGTTGGCATTTTTCATAAACATTTTGTTTGAATATTATTAAATTACAAATTAAAGGAAAACATAGTGAAGCTATTATATCAGTACCGTTTCCTCAACTTTTCTCTGATAATACATATATACAAACTGTACATACAAAGTATGTGTCAATGAAATGCAATTTTACTTAAAACAGCATTTGAAGTGAAAGATGTATGCATACATTTCATATATAGATACAATCAGGATCTTGAGGGATTCCTCAAAACTGTGAGATCTGTAGAAGTCTGATTAAGATCAAAGTGGGGCTTTTTTGGGGTCTGAGATTCTAAGAGTAGGAATACACATTTTACTATGTATAGTTTTGGATTTTGGCTCTTTTGGGTTTTTTTTTAGAGGGAAAAAAAGTGAAAATGAAGTATTTTTACTTTTAGACCAAAACATTCAGTTAAATGAAAGGACTAGAGGAAATAAGAATTATAAGGAGAGAGTGGGAAAAGTGTGTTTGCATAGTGGAGGCACTGTAATGAACATTATAAAACAAAATGTGTATGAACGGTTGAATGAAACATCCTATCTGCTTTGTACACTTTCACTCAAATCAGAACAGAAATCTAAAAAAAGAGTTTGTAAACCAGTATAAAATGAAAAGAAAAAGATTTTAAAATATGAAACAAAAAGTAAAAATTATTTCAATGAGCCAGTAAACAGTCCTATTTTGCAGTCACTTGACTCTTACCTTTCTCTTTTTAGTACTTAGAGTCATTCATGCCTTTTCCTTTCTCTTTCTAAAGATGCAATGTTGGCATTTTATTTTGGAAATTAACAAAAGGTAAAGTCAGAAGACAAGGAGCTGTAAGGCAAACTCAGCCCTCCCTGCTTCGATGAGCAGTCCCGAGGGCCTTGCTGGGTGGGTCTCCATGTCCAGCAAGGGGCCTGCTGGCCAGTGAGGCTGACCCAGGCATTTCCTGAAATTCACATATAGGATCTCAGTGATCTCTATGGAAACATGTGTAAAGATCTGGGATAATTCCAATAGTAGAAAAAAAAATTCTAAAATTGACTTCATTTCAATTAGATGAAGGGTGTCAAAAAAATCCTGATGAACCCAACAGGATCTTAAAGGCATGTGTGGGGGGGAGTTGGGGAGGAGGGGAAGGGAATGGATATAACTGAATCTTAAGGAGGAGCTGTTGGGGGTGTGAAAACGAGTTCAAAGTCACTTTGGAGTCCAGGTGATCTCCTGGCCATTTCAGATTTGCAGCCACCTTGCTTGACCTCATGTTGGAGAGGTGTGCTTGGCAGTCCCTAGATGGTCTCCTTCTGCTGGGCCGTCTCTCTGTGCAACTGGGACACCCACATACATACATGGAGTTGTGGATATGGACTCATGCACGTGTACACATGTATTGTGCACGTAGAAAAGGCGGAGAATACTGAGAGGTCCATGTTGCAAACATTTTGAAATGACACACAGGTGCCACCAAGAGAAAGTGCTAATATTGGCGCAATGAACCAAACAAGACTGGAGGCTGGTCCACACCCTGTGTTCCTGTCCTAGGGAGCGCTGCGCTTCTTTCGAAGGGGGCTGTGGCTGCTGCAGGGTTTCAGTTCCGCATACTGCACCTGTGAAAACAGACACACGTGATGCTGGCGCACAGTAACCCTAGCTTGCCACAGTGTGTGTTAATGGCTCCCCAAGGACAAACCCAGGCAAAGGAAGGAGGGTTCAAAGGTAATGAATCATTTTCTAAACACAGGAACATGGAGGGATTAATTGCAGGAAGGATTTGAGAAGTCATGCATCATTTCTTGAAACCAAAATATTAAAAGCAGATTTTTCTAATGAGATGCATAGGTCTCTCCCTGCTCTTGGCACTACTAGAGGATTTTAGCTTTACGTGTGCCACTTTCCAACCATAAGTAGGCTTAATAACTGCCTCATGGGAATGTTTATCTTAGTATATGATACAGCAACTTACTAAGACTTACTCATTTAAAACTATCTGAGATTTTGAGAGAAAATCTGGGCAAATGACATGCATTTATTTTGCCTGAAAGGGAAAAAATGCTGAATTGATTATCAGGCCCCAGAAATAGAGATTTCTCTTAAAAATGAATTTCATTCAAAATGTAAGGACTAAAACATCTGTGGTAAATCGAGTGCCCCAAGAATCCCTAGGGGCAAACTGTGTATTGTGTAATTAGAAAAGGTTCGGGGTGGTACCTGGTAGTTCAAGGAGGGGCCTCCCAAGCACTGTGTGTTTTCCTCAGATGTTCTCTGACTGGGTGTCTCTGTACCTGAGCCAGCTCTGACTGAATGACTGCCTCATGGACCCGTGCCTGGGTTGTAAGCTGACAGTCCTATCGGGGTTCTGTGGGATTCTCCCTTCTGAAGGGACACAGCTATGAACTCATGCTGTGGCCCTTGTGATGGGACTTTGCAAACACATTGCTTTGGTGTGTGCTTTTGACAGACTGACTGGGAATGGCTTTATGTAAAATGTTTTATTCCAGAACACATGAGTGTACCATATTTAGTATTTGTGTCAAGCACACCCTATCACAAAAGAGAAGATGAATTAAAAAGCTCCTTTTCCGTAGGTGGTTTAATGATGATGTCTTAGGGAATAGAACTACTTGGCTTTCTTCAAAGTAACATAAACAAGGCCAGGCTATTATATTTGAATCATCTCCGGTGGCTTAGTGGTAAGGACTTTGGCTGCTGATGCTAAGGTATGAGGTTTGAATCCACTAGCTGCTCTGCAGGAGAAAGATAAGCAGTCTCTTCCCCTGAGATTTATCGCCTCCGAAAACCTGCTGGAGGATCAACTATGAGTGGGTTCTGACTCGATGGTTCTCAACAACAACAATGAAAATGTTAATAAGTAAATTCATACTTCCAGAATGTATATTAAAGTGTAATTATGGACCCTGTCTCAATAGCTACAAATGGGAAAATGGAAAGAAACAAAACCATTCAGCCCCCCCACTGCTGCAGTTTGCTGAGAGCTTGTGGGGAACCAGCTATGACGCCCAGTGATGGGGATCAATACTTGATTTGGGATTTTCTCAGAAAAGAAAGGATTTTGTCTCTGATCATTGTGATGCTGTTTCTGGCCCCAGTTTCTCATCTCCCTACTCCATGGCCCCTCATCTCCTGTAGAGAAATTACTGTCTGACTGTCTTCATCTGGATTTATATACAGCACCCTGACCCGCAGGGGCTTAGACAAGCTATACCATTGAACTTGATGGTATTGTTGCTGGCATTAATCTCTGTGTCTCCACACCAACAGGACTCTGCTGGAACTAAGTGACCACTACCTGTGAGTAATGCTTCTGATTGATCTCGAATAATTTCACTCTTCTGTCTCCTTGTGTGTGAGAGTAACTGGGACTTTGCCCTCAGTGTCCTTAAGTCTTCAGAAGAAAGGGGCAAGAAGGAAACCATCAGGACAAAGAGGAGGGGGGAAAAAAGACTAATCCACTTCCCGGACAAATGCCCCTGAACCAGAACAGAAAGGGTTTCTGCTTTGAATGTCAGGGACCCCCACTCACTAAGCCCCACTTATCTCCATTAGGGAGGTGAACTATCAGAAAGGTGGCCTCACAGTGTGAGTTCCAGGATATTCCTAAGCAGCTCTTTTCCAAGATCATTTTCCCTAATCATCTCATGGGTTGGACTAAGATATTCCTGCCACCCCCTTGCAAATCAGGCCTCTGGAAGGGTTTTTGCATGTGTTATCTCAGGGGCTCCAGGACAGGGTGTCTCCTTGGCTGGCTCTAGGGCTGAGAGGGCTAAGCCAACATCGACATCGGCAGTGGGGTTTCTGTTGTTGGTGACTATTCATTACATACCTTTTGAACATCAGATGGTACCCTGGAGAGAAAGTCTAGGAGCTCATTATTGTCGATGGTATAGGGATTTCGGAGCTTCTTAGTAAACTTATTTATGCCTGTAAGATAGAAACACAAGGGCTCCGTTGACTAATCATCCATCCATTCATTCACTTATTCATTTACCTTTAAGAACGTGCCTGGCTGGTGGCAGGACAAGGGGTGGGGCATTCACAAGTAAAGATTAGTGTGAAACAATTACCAGGCCTCAAGTCAGGCCCATGTCGCTGTCATGTGGAATCATTCACGAACGTCTTTTCTTGAGGAAGGAAGTGGGAACTGTGGAAGCAGAGCTCTAACTTCTTCAGCTGTGAAAATCCCATTACGATCTCAGCAGCAGGGCGCAGAAACACACACTAATACAGGGGTGCTCACTGGCTTTTTTGGAATATACTGATTATCAGCTTCTTCTGCTACGAAAACAAATGCCCCAGCTGGGAAAAGGCCTTCATTAGCCCAAACATGTCCATGCTTGGAGGCTCTGGACCAAATGCAGCAGGAGGGAGGCAGAGAGCAGTGGATTCTTGTTGTTGGAAAGGAAGCTATCCTTCTCCGCCACCCTCAACTCATTTTCACAGGTTTCTCTCCTCTCACTGCTGAGCAGAGCCTGACATGTTCATTGTGCTTTGATGCTACAGGAAACTGTGAAATGTTATTATTGGAAAATTATCTTACCAAGGTGGCTAACTTGATTTGTGAACTGAAACTCTGATGTGGAGCTTCTTCTGAGCAACAGAGCACATACTAATTTCAGATGGGCACAATGTTCATTAGAAGGGGGTGTGATTTTTAAGATGCCAACATCCTGGCAGCAGCCCACTGAGGGGTCTGTGCCCTGGGATCTTGAGCATGTCTAGATGGAGCTGTTTCATGTCAGAGGGGGGTTCCTGCAGTCCCTCTGTGACTTCTGCTCTACCCATGGAGCTGCTTTGCCCATATCCCAAGCTCACAGCTTTGGTCTATTTTACCAAATTCTCTTTCCCCCCCTCCTGTTGTGTTTTAGAAGCAGTATGACTAGGTGGCCTTCTAAAGCCATGCCACCCAGTTGCTTGTTTAACAAGGATTTTATCTGCAGGTCTTGTCAGCCTCAATCATGCTGAATGAATTTATAGTCTAAGTGTATCCTGAATGGCCCCTACTTAGAAGCTAAGAGAACATTTAACTATTCAATAGTCACGAGTACATGAAAGGTTTGATGCCTCTCTTCTTTGAGGAAATTTTATTTTGCTTTCATTTAAGGACAGGACTTCCTACACAGCATTATACCTTACACAATGACAACCTCCAGTCATTGATTTGGAAGGTCAGATTTACATCTGCTTTGCAAATGGGGGCCAGCCATTGTCAGTGAAAAAATGACTGCCTGGTGGCTGGGCCAGGGATGGCTGCTTGTAAAAGCTCCCCTGCCTTGATGTCAAAGCTGCACTCTGCCTTTATTCTCTCTACCCCCACAGCAAGCTCCATGTTGCCAGTTAAAATCCCCCTTCTCAAGTTGCCTTAAATGAAAATACTTTCACTGTGTTATTCTAAAGACATTTAATTGTAGCACAGGCTTTTTGGCAAAAGAAAACAGACGAGGCAAAATGATGAAAGCAGACAAAGACATATTGAGAAAAGATATATCTTCCATTGTTAATTATATATAGTGTGAGCATCTGGAGTCTTTACAATGAACAGCAAGGCAGGGATAATATCACAGCTGATCAAAACAGTACATTCTTAGTCACAGAGAAGATTATAAACCTGCACAGTAGTTCAAATGCACCAATAAGGGCAGACGTAGTGCACAATGCACCAAGACTGTGTTTGAAAAACTTGGAATAAAAATGATTGGGTATTTGGATTTTATATTTCAAAAGCACACCTAACTTTTTAAGGTATTTAAGGCTTAAAATGCTTCAGAATTTGACGTTATTGTCTACTGTGTGAAACCAAGTGTCAACATCACACCCACATGGTTTTATTTAAGGGCCAATGAGGAGAGGAGGAAGGAACTAGAATTACAGTACAGGGAGATCTGGGTTCTGGTGCTGGGCTAATCGCATATGAGTGGTGTGACTTCAGGGCATAAATACCTACCCTATGTAGTTCCCTATCTTGCTGGGAGAATCACGTTGGACCATATTGTCAATGGCATTCTGTAATCTGTAACTTCACAACAGTATAGGAGGTTGTGACACTGTTGTCGTCAACAAACTAAAAAGTCCAATGTTGTGGAAGTGGAAAGCAGTCTCTACACTACTGGGCATGCAATCAAATGTCTATATTTGGAAGATGGGGAAGTTATGGCTTCCAGATCCTAACTTGGAAAAAACCAGATAAGTAATTTGCTATACATCAGTGAGCTAGACAATGAATAAGACTGACAGAAGAAGAACTCATGCTTTTGAGTTGTGGTGCTGGAGAACAGTATTGAATAGTCCATAGGCTGTCAAAAGTATGAACAGGTATGTCTGGGAGAAAGTGCAGCCAAGTGATGCTTTATCTCTAACATATATACATGTAACGAGGTGAGGTGAGGCTACTCCTTGGAAAGGGGCATTATGCTGGGAAAGATGGAGAGCCAGAGAAGGATAATGAACTCCAACGCGATGGACTGTCACCGTGACTTAAGCAATGGGCTCCGGTGTGTCTGAGATGATGAGGTGGTAGAGGAAAAGGCTGGGTTTATGTCTCATGTCCACAGGGCTGCTATGAAGTGTACTCAACTCAAAAGCCCCTAACAACAGCAACAACTACTTAAGTGAAATAGATTCATAGAAGGTAAATCTGCTGTAAAAATGGCTTTGTGTTTTGGTTTTTCTTTAAAGCAAATAAAAAGCAAATGGGGTTCAAACATCACAGGACAGCCTTTAGGAAAGATGCTATCATCTAATGACACATAAATCATCATAAAACCCATGGACTGGCTAGATCAAGGAGGCTGTAATGAACCATCCAGGATGAGACAGCATCTGGAGAAATTCATGACAGGAAAAGTCACATGGCTGCTTTGCACATGGAGCCACACGAGAATCACCACTTCAAGCAGGATTAATATTTGGATTATATATTACCTGAGCCACTGACATGTGACTCAAATCAAAATACATTGCTAGGGTGGAGGTGGATGTTTCTTTAATTCCTCTGTTTATCCATGACTTCTTATAAATATATAAAACACTGATTAACAAAATTAAGATATAAAATTAACTGTGATATGACTCCTTGCAAGAAGCATAAATTAACAAAATTAAGATATAAAATTAACTATGATATGACTCCTTGCAAGAAGCGTAAAATCCAATTGATTGTTCATATCTTCCTTGGAAAAATAACCTATGCTGAAGCTCTGGTGACACGTTCTTAAGGAGTTGTTCTGGCAACCCAAAGGCACACAGTTTGAACTCGGCATCTGCTTTCAAAAAGTAAGGAGGGCAATCTTTACTTGTGGAATTTACAGCCTCTGAAAAGCCACTGGAGGGTTAGCTGTGAGTTGGTTCTGACTTGACAGTACATAGCCACACATAAAGAAGGACAGAAGAGAAATCTCAAAAAGGAGAGAAGATCCATATGGGATGCTTTCTAGAAACACAACTATCAAATTAACAATAAAAATCCAGTGGAGAAAGTTCCCAATAGATTACAGATACCCTCATAAATCCAGTTCTTACTTTTAAAAGTTGAACTCTCATGCAAGAAAGGTGGCAGACCGAATAAAATGTTATTTAAGGAGAACAAAATTATGAAATTCTCAGTGATTTACCCATAAATATATTTGTTCAGTAATCATTAAAACCTAATACTTATATATGTTTTAATTGTTGGTGTGTATTATAGAGTGGGAACAGACCCAGAGAAACCTTCTAGTGGGTTTTCAGAGGCAGTTACAAGCAGGGGAGGAGACTGACCATCCTCTTCCTCAGAGCAGGGGTTGCCTTGAACAGCGTGCCTTCAGGATTACAGTGCAGCTTCTTGCCATTAGGCATATAACTGCATGCAACAGTGATTCTAGGAGTGTTGAGGGAAGAAATTGTCTTACCATTCAAAAGTTACAATGAAGTTTGTGAATCAAGAAATATTATGACTACAATAAAATCAAGGTACTTTCATGTGCTTATGTCACACAATTCTGATGACAAAAATCTTTTATACAAAAATGATTATTTAAATATATACTGCTGTTGTTGTTATGTGCTGTCGAGATACCTGTGACACAGAGTGGCCCTATGTAAAACAGAAGATACAGAATATAAAAATAAAGCACTTTAAGTATAATAAGTTTGCTCCAAATGAGTGAAAACAGAATAAGTGATTTAGAATCTAATTTATGACTTTGAAGATGAGTAAGTAATCTAGGGAAAGACATTTTCTTATGATTGTTTTTTTTTTAAAAAAAGATTCAATTTAAGACATAAAATTATATTCTTATACAAAAGAAAGTCTTTGCTGTTTCATAAAAAGTGAAAGAAAGTGGTCTGGATTCATATTAGCTATTAACAAACTTGACTTGGAAACTACTAATTTTAAGATTTGTAGCATATATTCCATGATGGCATGACAGTTGCTATATAGTAAAAGAGAGTAATAGATCATGTGATTATTGTCAAGGCCTTTTACTACATTACCCATTGTATGCTCATCAGTAAGCGCTACAAAATTCTGTCTAGAATGTAAGACCTAACAATGAGACTGAGTATAGAGTTCACAAGGTCATGGTTGGCCCACAAGAGCAAAATAAACTCCCTGATGATTAATATTTTCATCTAGAAGTTTAATGATAAATAGAGCAACAGCTCCCTACATAGATTGGAAAAGTGGACACTTGGAAGCTGTCAAGATCTTGGAGGATAAGATCAGAAGACAAAGTGATCTGGATACGCAGTGAAGCCAATTAAAGGAGAAAATGGAATGCAGTAGAGGATATTTTGTGGCAAGAAACAACCACCCCTCAAAAAAAGAACCCCACTCAATAATGCATAAAAGAAAATAAAATATGATGAAGAAACCATGAGTCAACAGTGTTTACCAAACTGACTACAGTCACCAAACTATATATACTTAAAAAATGGTAAGTATGTCCTAGCTGTAAAGACTGAACCAATCACTAAGCAAAACAAATTCTTCAGTAAAGTCTCTTTCACTTGTGCATGCAGTTTGCAAATCACTGAAAACTGTTCTACCCTTTTCTGTATTAAAGTAAGGCTACAATAATAACTAGATAGCAAACTAAAATGAGAATCACATGCATCTATTCCAACTGACCTTCAATTACTTAATAGTACAGTTATTATCTTGCTGATAATAGAATTGCCTAGTTAGGGTTCTGGATACTGGAAGCGACTCTGAAGAAAGTGGAGCATTTTTTCACTCATAGTAAAGACGACTTGGAGGGCCTACTGCCCAAGGGTGCAACTTGTGATTTGAAGAGAACTCTTACACATAGTATGAATTATATGACCAAGCTATTCCACTACTATGAAAACACCCCAAGGGAACTAGAATGGAGGCATAAAAGTACACGAACAAAGGATAATATATACGAATAAATAAAGAAAAAAAGAATTACTGTTTTATCCTAAAAAAAAGAAAAAACACACACCCCTCACCACTTGACCAACAGGCAACATTAAAATTCTACTGTTACTGTTAGATGTCTCTGAGTGGAGTATGACGCAGAGCGACCCCGTGAACAGCAGAACTGAACCCTGTCCTATCCTGTGCCATCCTCACTATTCTGACACATTTGAGCCCAATGATGCAGTCACAGTGCCAACCCATCTCATCAAGGTCCTCCACTCTTATCTCTGACACTCCATTTTCCAAGCATTAAGTCTCTTTCCAAGGAATAGCCTCTCCTAACAACATGCCCACAGACGAAAGACAGAGCTTCATCATCCTTGCCTCTGAGGAGCACTCTGCCTACGCTGTTTATAGACATGTGTTATGTTCTGTCGGGTCCATGGGATTCTCAGTTCTTTTTTCTCAGCACCACAACTCAAAGGCATCAACTCTTCTTCTGTCATGCTTAATTACTGTTCATCTCTCAGATTTGTAACAGGTGATTGAAAGAATTGTAATAGATGGAGAAAAGATTGAAATGGCCAATAATTTAATTTTACTTGAATCTCCAATCAACACACAGGGTAACAGCAGTCAAGAAATTAAAAAACAAAACAAAACCCCAAAACACAACAGCCAAAAAACCCCCAAACAAACATGTTGCAATGAGAAAATCTGTTGACAACGACTTTTCCAAAATATTGAAGAGCAAAAGTGGTGTTTTAAAGATTAAGTTGCATCTGGTCTAAGCCATAGTCTTTTTTAATTACTCCCTACTCGTGTAGCCTAGTGGCAAGAAGCTGTGCTATAAACTTGAAAGCACACAATTCAAGGTCACAAGCTGCTCCGCAGAATGATGGGTAATCTCCTCCCCTGCATTTAACCACCTCTGAAAACCGCTGGAGGGTCAGCTGTGGGTTGGCACACAACAACAACAACGTCATGGATCTGAAAGTTGGAGAATGAATAAGGATGAATAAGAATGAATAAGGTAGAGGTGATGCCTTTGAGTTATGGTGTTAGAAAGAAGCAATGATTACTACATGTTAGGAGAATCAATAAACCTATGCTGGAGGAAGTGCAACCAGAGTGCTCTTCAGAGGGAAGGATGTGAGACTCTGTCACACGGACTCTGGGCATGTCTGGAGGGGCCAGACTCTGGAAAATATCATCAGACTGGGAAAGGAATAGAGTCAGTGAAAGAGAGGAAGACTCAGAAACGGAAAGATCAACACAGCGACTGACTGCAAAATGGGCTTGATCATATCAGAGACGGGGAAGGTGGCCTAGACTAGGGCAAGGTTCAGATCTGTTAATCTATAGGGTCATTATGAGTTAGTTGTAGCCAACTCAATGGCACCTAACAACAACAACAACATCAGTTATAAAGGAGAGATATTTCTTGTGTGAAATTTTCCCATCTTGAACAAAACTTAGAGTGAATGACTTACACCCTCTCAAAATAATTTCACTTTGAGATGTTTTGGAGTTGCTCTGTTAAGTTATCATTTCTAAGTATCCAGCTTTGGCTTTTCTTATTACAAGGGCTCTGTCTTCGTGGATTCTCTCAGTAAAGGTCTACATTTGCAAGCTTTCATGTGCTGCATACTAGACCTTATGATGAATGTGTGTCAACAAAAAAGTCCCTCATTATTGAAACTTTGATAGCAGCTGAACATCTGAAGACCTCGAGAAGTAAATGTGGTTGAGGTCAATAGCAGATCTAAGTAACGGGGGAGACAGGGCAGATTCTTACAGTGCAGGGCTGACTGCTTCTCCAATAATTAAGCTACTGAAATGCACCCTCCTTACATAGCCTGAGACCCGACCCAGAGGTGCAGACAAATATTCACAAAATTGCTGGCACACTGTCCAATCACTAATTCAAGTATCTTTCAGTCTTGTTCCAATTCTAAAAACTGCTCGACCGTCTGGCAGGTTTTCAGAGGCAGTAAATTGCACAGAAGGGGACTACACATCCTTTTCACACGGAGGAGGTGGTGGGTTCAAGATGCATGCCTTTGGAATAGCAGCACAGTTTAGAGGCACCTATTTCCCCTGATTAACAAAATCTTCCTCTTTTCTCAGGTAATAGTTAAAATGTCTTATTTCATCACTAATTTGTGATTTTAATAATTGGCTATTTTTTTTTCTCATCCAGGAAAGAGAAAATGTCAGGAACAAAATCTTTGAGGCTAGATCTACTTTTTCATAAAATAAAAGGTAAAAAGTAGGTGATTGTTCAATGTTAGAACAACAGCATTTCCTAAAGGTTACTGGACCACTCTCTTTCTCCTATTATTCAAGGGTATCCATGGCCAGAGGAAAATCATGTGCACAATCACATTCACATTTGATCACAATTATGCAAGAGGCATAAAAATACTGATGGTTCATTCAAACAGGCCTTTTATGAGAGTTCTAGTAAGTTTTGTTTCCTAACTATTCTTCTTAATCTCATGCTTACCTGCCAGCAAGAATGCCTTTAAGGTTTATATCAACTGTACAAATGAATAATTAGTTCTTACCTGGACTTGACTGCCAGTAAAAGGATCATGCCAAACTTACCCCACATTAAAATGATGTACCGCAGTGGGATGAAGTACAAGGTGACGGTGGCCACGGCCAGGATCAAGCAGGCCAGGAATGACAGGAACGGGACTGTCCAGTTGAATGTGCTGTGGATTAATAACCACATAAATATTACTGCCATTAAGTCTAAGAGTCATCTTGCCGTGTTTATGTCATAGTTATGCAAATCAAAAGTTGAAAAAGTTTCTTTAACAAGCTGGAGATAAAAGACAACCAAACTGACTGGGTGCTTGATAAACATTCTAAAGGAGACAAGACCATTAATAGTTCAAGTTGTCAGAGTGCTGGTGACTCCTGGATCTGGAAGCTCCTCAGAGATTTATTATTGAGTTGTTAAGAACCACAGTATAGTCAGGCAGCTCTATGCATGGAGATCTTCAAAGCTGAGAGGTCCTACTATTTTAAAGTCAATAATTCTCTCCCAATTAACATATGGTTGTCAGTAAATGTTTAGAAAGGGAGGCAATTATTGCTTTGTACTGTTGTCTACTAACAAATTCAGACTGTCTAAATTCTTTATTTACTCCAGAAATTCAACAATGTCTTAGATAAGTGGGAGAGTATTTTTGGCCACCTATTATTATACCCCTCTGCACGTCCCAGGAATGATCTTGGTGCAGCCTTGGGCCTTTTGTACCTGTAGGCGGGACAAAGGTTTTCCTGGGAGTCACCTCTCTATTGGCTGGCCCCGGGTTCTGCCTGCACGGATTCCTGTCTCCTCCATTCTGCCCGCAAGGATCCCTACAAAAGGGCCGCACTCATTCAGCATTTCTTAAGCCCAAGGAACTGAAAAACAAATTCAAACCTCGAGTTGCTATAATCAAGGATGCTTTAGGCAGAATACTAAATGATCCAGGAAGTATGAAAAGAAGATGGAAAGAATATACTGAGTCACTGAATCAAAAGGAATTGGCAGACACAGAAGAATTTCATGAAACAACATAGGAGCACGAGCCTATGGTGATGAAGGAAGAAGTTCAAGCTGCTTTGAAAGAAATAGCAAAAAATAAGGCCCCAGGAATAGATGGTATACCAACTGAAGTATTTCAGCTAACAGATGCTACCCTGGACGTTCTCACCAAGTTGTGTCAAGAAATCTGGAGAGCAACCACTTGGCCAACTGACTGGAAGAGACCTATATTGGTTCCCATTCCAAAGAAGGGTGACCCAACAGAGTGTGGAAACTATAGAACAATATCATTGATTTCACATGCAAGCAAGATTCTACTGAAGATTATCCAAAAATGACTGGAACAGCATATCAGCAGAGAACTGCCAGAAGTCCAGGCTGGGTGTAGAAGGTGTCATGGTACTAGGGATATTGTAGCTGATGTTAGATGGATCTTAGCTGAAAGCAGGGAATACCAGAAGAATGTCTATCTGTGTTTCATTGATTATGCAAAGGTGTTTGACTGTGTGGATCATAACAAACTGTGGTTGACTCTGAGAAGAATGGGAATCCCAGAACACTTGATTGTGCTAATGTGAAACCTATACTTGGACCAAGAGGCAGTCGTCAGAACAGAGCAAGGAAGCACCGCATGGTTCAAAATTGGGAAAGGTGTATGCCAGGGATGTGTCCTTTCTCCATACCTTTCCAACCTGTATGCAGAACAGATTATCCAGGAGGCTGGGCTCTATGAGGAGAAGTGTGGCGTCAGGATTGGTGGAAGATCTATTAACAATCTGCGTTATGTAGATGACACAACCCTGCTTGCTGAAACTGAGGAGGACCTGATGCACTTGCTGCAGAGGGTCAAAGACTGCTTCAGTATGGATTGAGGCTCAATGTCAAGAAGACAAAGACTCTCACCACTGGACCAACTGGCAGATTGAGACTGAGATTGTGAACAACTTTAGTCTGCTTGACTCCAAGGTCAACACTCTTGGCACCAGTAGCCAGGAAATAAAAAAAACGTATTGCGATGGGAAAGTCTGCGGTTAGGGACCTCTCCAGGGACTGAAGAGCAATGGTGTCACTATGGAGACTAAGGTGCATCTGATATAGGCCACCGTCTTTGCAATCACTTGTTATGCATCAGAAAGCTGGACAATGACTAGGGAGGACAGAAGGAGAACTGATGCATTTGAGCTGTGGTGCTGGAGAAGAGTACTGAATGTACCATGGACTGCCAAGAAAACAAACAGATTCATCCTGGAGAGGGTTAAACCAGGCTACTCCATGGAGGCAAGGATTCTGGGGCTTCATCTAACATACTTTGGACATGTTGTAAGGATGGACAGGTCCTCGGAGAAGGAGATCATGCTTGGGAGGATGGAGGGACAGCGCAGGAGGGGAAGGCCCTCTATGTGGTGGATTGATTCAGTGACTGGGGTAATTGGGATGGGTGTGTCAGAGGCAGTGCGATTGGCATAGGATAGAGCAGGGTTTAGGACTGTTGTACATAGGGTCGCTATGAGTCGCAAGGACTCAACGGCACATAACAACAACAACAACGTTATTATACAATCCATCATGATGCTGCTAATAGACCCAGTGGGGAGAAGAATTGTTTTTTTGATGTTGAGCTTAAATTCATATTGAAGGTTGTAATTCTTGACCTTCTGTAGCAAGTGCTTCAGGGCCTCCTTAGTTTCAGCAAGCAGGGCTGTGTCATCTGCATAAAGCAGGCTGCCTGTCTCCAATCCTGATTCCACTTTTCTCCTCATAGAGCCCAATCTCCCGGATGATCTGTTCTGCATATAGGTTGAAAAGGTATGGAGAAAGGACACATCCCTGGTGTACACACCCTTCCCTATTTTAAACCATGCAGTATTTTGTTGTTCTGTTCTAACCTCCTGGTCTAAGTATAGGTTTCACATATGCACATTCAAGTATTTTCTCATTCTTCTCAGAGCTTTAGTTTATTTGGTGCCACAGTCAACACTATTGGTACCTGTAGCTAGGAGATCAAAAGACAAATTGCATTGGGAAAGTCTGCTATAGGGACAGCACCAGAGTACTGAAGAGCAATAATGTCACTCTGGAGACTAAGGTGCACCTGACTCAGGCCATGGTCTTCGTAATTACATGCTATGTATCAGAAAGCTGAATAACGACTAAGGATGACAGAAGGGAAATTGACGCCTTTGAGTTGTGGTGCTGGAGAAGAGTGTTGAATATACAATGGACTTCTAAGAGAATAAACAGGTTCACCGTGGAGAGGGTGAGACCAGGCTGCTCCTTGGAGGCAAGGGTGTGAGAAAGAGGGACTAGTCCTTGGAGAGGGACATTATGCTTGGCAGGGTGAAGGAACATCATAAAGGGGAAGACCCTTGATGAGATGGATTGAGTCAGTGAGGGAGTAACAGTGGTAGGTGTGTCAGAGGCAATAAGTTTGGCTCAAGATAGAGCAGGGTTTAGAGCTGTTGTACATAGGGTTGCTTTGAATTGCAAGTGACTTGATGTCACATAACAACAACAACAACATTATTATACCATCAATCAGAGATCATGCAGATGGTTTGATCAAATATAATTTTCATTGCACTCCTGACTTTCATTATAGTTATGGTGTGCTATGCTTTAAAACTCTGAATATTGCACTAGAATGTTGAAAAGCCAAAGTAAAGGAAAGAAATCGAGACGTTAAGGAGCTGACTAGAAGATTTCCAAGGGCAATTGAAGAAGACAGGCAAAGTATTTTAATGAAATATGCAAGGAGCCGGCATCTGAAAATCAAAAGGGCTGAACTTGCTCAGCATTTTTTCAGCTAATGGAACTAAAGAACAAATTAAAGCCATGAGTTACAATACTTGAAGATGCCATGGGCAGAATATTGAATGATTCAGGAAGTATTAAAAGAACATGGAAGGATATATAGAGTCACCGTACCAAAAAGAATTGGTTGACAAAGCAAAATTTCAAGAAACCACCTATGATCAAGGGGCAATGGTGATGAAGGAGGAAGTGCAGGCTGCTCTGAAGGACTCGGCACAAGGTAAGGAGCCAGGAATTGATGGAATACAAATAGATATATTTCAACAAACAGATGCTTCCCTGGATGTGCTGACCAGGTTGTGTCAATATATCTTGAGGACAACTTATCTGTTCAACAGAATTGGGAGAGATCCAAATTACTAATTTGAGTAATATTTTGAGTAATATACAATTT